ACTTGCCCTGACGCCCACACGAGCTCACACATCGAAGGCATGTTCGCGACACTCCTCCTACATCGCACGACCTCACGTTGTTAAAGACATGAGAGAGGGAGGGCTTCAGTTCCCTAGTGACAAATCAACATCGCTCCTTCCCCGCCTTCTTCGTTGTTGTTCGACTTTGCTCCTTCGACGTCGTTCCTTTCCTCTCCAAATGGAAGTTACAACATTTCGATTGGAAGCAACAATCGTGAGCTCATCGCTGTGAAGGTTACTTTCTCCCTTTTGTGTGCTTCTTTGGCCCTTCTTGGCTGTTCGACTTCATAGCTTCAACGACTTTCCCTTCCTCTAGGATCGGAAGTTACGACACTTTGGTTGGAAGCAAAAACGGGAGCTTGCATGCAATGAAGGTAACTTTCTCCTTATTGCTCGCTTCTTCGGCTCCGTCATTGTCGTTCGACTCCGCTCCTTCCAGGACTTCCCCTTCCTATCCGATCGGAAGCAGACGGAGCTCACTAACCGTGAGGTTAACTTTCCCTTTCGAGCGCTTCTTCGGCCTAGTCCCGTAAATCTGCTGAATCGAGGGGTAAAATTTTTTTTAATTAATTAATTATTATTAATTATGAGTAATTAATTAAATATAATTATAACTAGTTAATTAGTTATAATTAATTAATGTTATTATAATTATTTCAAAAAAGAGAAGAAAGGAGGATGCTAGCTTGCTCTCTTGCCTCGATGCGTGTGACGATTCGTTTAACTACCTATACCCACTTTTCTTAGCATTGTAGGAACAAACCCGATGCGACACACTCAACAAGGCAGGTAAGCAGCCCTCGACTTCAAAATTTTATCATGTACTAAATGAAACACAATAGACTTGAACTTAAAGCGAGAACTTGTGAATATTGAATTTGATTTGAGCAACATCAATTAGAACTTGAACATATAAGACTTGAAATTGAACTTGAATTGGATATAATAAATAAAATTGAATGAACTAAACTTGAGTCATGTGCAAGAAAACTCGAACTCGGGTTTGAACTAAGTGCGAAGGAGCTTGAACATGCAACAAAATTTGCAGTTACAAGGGACTAGACATACAAGGCTTGAACTGGATAACAAGGGACTCGAACAAGGAACCACAGAGGACCGAATATTAGATCAACGAATGTGCAACCATAATATAAGCATTAAAATGATAATTTGGATTATCAAAATAAAAGGTCCTTTGTTATTCAAACATCACTTTTCTTCATCTAGTTGAGAAAATAGAAGACTTGTAACACTTAACATGGCTCAGCTACATGCAAGCAATCATGTCCATCTGTTACAAACACAATATCAAAATGCAATCAAATGTATTGATCCCTACAAGCAATGGGGGTCAAAATATATGAAGAAATTAGCAATGAATGGAGTTCATCCAACACTCATCATTCACTTGCAAACACTAATGGGAAACAGTGCGACTACAATGAATATCACAGTGTGTCCATGAATTAGACATAGAAGCTTATACATAGCTGATGTTACTGAGGTGGCCTTGTAAGTGATGATATCCAGTATGAGATGGGTATGAAGAATCCCTCGCAAATAATGATATGGAGACTCAGCAAATACAAAAGCGTGTTCTCAATTAGTATGCAATGAATTGCTAACCAAGATGAATTTGAAAATTTTTGAACAAATACAATAACCTCTACACAGTCATTTTAAACTTGTGAACAAGTTCAATGTACCCTTACAATCAACCACCGTGTAATATCCTACAAATACACCAATTCGTTGCAAGAAAATACATAAGGGTTTTAGTAAATGAAGTACCCTGTAATCAACAACGAGCCATAATGAATGCATCTACATGCCTACAAATAGCAATAACAGGTTTATAACAAATATTAAAAATTTGCAGCAAAGGCATTAGGAATACATGCAAATGACGATAGGAGGTATGCTGCATATACGATGAATTTCTTAGGCGTATGGATACTCATACAAGGTGTCATTTACAAGCATAGATGAAAGCCTACAATGTGTATAAATACATACGATTAAACGTACAAGATTATTATGTGCGCACTACGGCCTATTTGTGGATTATAAAACAGAAAGGTCACAATAAGTGCGAGCTCCTACAAATCACCATAGGAAACTTGTCATGCATACAACATGCCACCCACCAACAAATGCAAAAGTACTGTGATAAATGCAAATACCTACAAGTACTTGTAAGGGACCCGATGTCTACAAGTACAACGCAAGAGAACTGCGATAACATGATTCATCTACAAGAAGCAGTGGCAGATATACTATAAAGGCAAGGGATCCTTTATGAGCATACAATATGCCATTCCCCAGTAAAGATCAAAGACTTCGAGCAAAGATGTAAAAGAATTGTGATAGATGCAAGCATTTACAACCTAAAGCAGGAGATTTGTTAGTGCATTATAATCCACTTGCAAAAAATAACAAATAGTGCACGATAGTCTACTCGTAGAAAACAGGCAAATAACTAGTACAACGCCACGCCACCTGATTCGCGACATCCATGCAAGCGAACATAAGGCGTTTATAAATATTTCAAAATACCCCCGTACATGCACCGTAATTTGTATACACATAGGTACACAAAAGGGGTAAATGTAACCAAACACCCGTATAGGCCGCTACGAGTGTGTTGTAGGAACACACGCCATGTCTAGGGATGCTACGCGGATCAATAAATTTGAACCCGATTCTCCTAAGCAAGTAGATAAGAGTTGACAAGGTTCAGTAAATAACTAAAAAATGCCTCCAAACACCCGCATGGGCCCCAACGAGCGTGTTATTGATACACCATGATGCCCAAGGATGCTACGCAGGTTAAATGGTGAATCAAAGTTCGAGCCTGGTCCTTCTATGCGGGTAGATGGGAGTCGACACGGCTCGAACCATTAAATAAATATGCGGTCGCGAGGTCGACCGAGATATTTATTTTATACATTCATATTAAGCCTTCAATAAAGAAAACTCACCAAGAAATGCATATAGCATACGAAACCCGATCCTATGTCGATAACTCGACATAGTCGACATGGTTCAGCCATTAAATAAATATTCGGCCGCGAGGACGGTCGGGATATTTATTTTATATATTTATATTAGGCCTTCAAGGTATTCAATAAAGAAAACTCACCAACAAAGGTCCGAAGCCTATAAAACCCGATCCCCTATTAGCAAGTTGATAGGGTTGACAAGGTTTAGTCAATGGAAATGACCTCGTAAACCCCGATGATGGCTGTGTTGAATGAAGATCTCGACCGGAGGGGTTAATTTTAAATACTTAAAATGCCACCCAAACTTCATGAAAATACCCAAAAATCCAAAATCATCCAAATCCAAATGTTTAAAATTGAAATAATTCATCTAATAACTTACAGCAAAATCCATCCACCCTCTGCAATAGTTTGTCAGGGTGGACAAGCAAAGAGCTAATGCTTAGTCGAAAATATCACTAGGATCCATTCTCAAATAATCTTCTGCCAGTAAAAACTTGATACGTGTCCTCTAACCGGCGATTTTGCCGTCAAATGGCACCGTAGGATAAATGATTATGACCCTGGGCCCTCTGAACCGAGTGGTTTTGCCGCCAAATGGCACCACGAGATAGCGGTTATGGTCAGAGCCAATATATTCCTTAGTGACATCAAATCCTTGAGATATGAATCAATAGGATATAATCGATATAACACAAAGTCCTCTGTCAGCTAAGGTGGATTCAAATTTATCTCCTTAGACAAACATCCATCCCAGGTATATAAGGTACCCTTTGACGAAGCAACTCATGGCTGCCGACAAGGATCCTTCTATCAGGTTGGGTCGACTAGCTCATCTGACTAAGTAGAGCAGGGATCATGATGGCTGGGATGATGGAACCATGGGATCTTGATCGGGTCCATCACCCATTCCCCCACCATTCGCTTTAAGTGCAAGATGGTGAAATTTCCAATTTTAAATAACAAACATCCAAACTTTTCAAATCCCTAAGCCCATGCTACTACTATACGCCTGATACTACGTATCTATGGATACAACATATCTGATTGACGACTAGCCTTAATCGACAGTTCTCTCTCGTTATCGGGAGAGGTAATTAACTATAGGGGCTTGCGCCTATAGGAAACCAAAACTCAGATCATAAAGTCCTCGCAAAATGAGGGCGAAATCTCTTGGTAGTGTCTTATCTACAAACCCATCTGTCTTCTAAAATTTACCCCGGAACTTTAATCCGTTAAAACTCCCGCGAAAGAAAAGCAATGCGGGTGGAGGCTGGGGCTGAATTTTCGGAGCCCACACACATTAACCTTCTTAGGTTTACAAAGCCATCTTCACAACATTATCGCTATCACATTTAAATTGTCTTAATTGCATCAAATTTTAACACATACTATATAGGCAATCAAATGTAATTTTAAAAAATTTGCACCTACTCATGATATTCTTTTATCATATAATTTCCTTAAGGAATTTCTCCTTAAGGAAAACGCTAAAGCTGAAAATTTTGGTTAAGTCAAATATCTTCACAACCATCTGATACAAGTCCTCGCAAAACGCTAAAGCTGAAAATTGTACGACAGAAGAGTAGTTAATTAATGCTTCCTTTTCGGCAAGCAGAGGGGATAAATTTTAAAATCCACTTTTCTGGTTTATGTATATATATATATTCTATCTTTAGTCCGGACATGAAGCAGGATGTCAATAATACTGTTCTTGTTGCTTACGTACATGTATGTTGGATTATAAAGGAGATGATGCAATACAGTCTTCTATTAGTGAATGTTATGTATATCCTTCCCTGTGGAATAATTTTGCATTTAATGTTATAATTTTTTTAGCAAATTATTTGACTAAATCTGATTTGTTCGTTTTCCTTCTTCTTTTTCAACTCTTGCTTTTTTATCGCTATTCTAGAAGGAGCTTTTAAGAGAAGCCTTTCCATTCCTGATTAGTATATCGTTTGAAAATTTGTTTAGGTTCACCATGGTGGAGCTGGTACAACAGCTGCAGGACTAAGAGCTGGGGTAATCTTCTTTTGGAAAATTTTATTTGCTGTTATTAGCATGGTTTAGTTATTGTTGCCTGGAACACTTCTCCTTGAGTCACTCGTTGGCCAAATTGAAAGTTCGAAAGCATTATTATGCTGAAATCTTACTTTGTTAACGAGGAATAGATGTTACCAAGCATGCATAACTAGTTTATGTATTTGAAGTAAATAATCAAAATGGTCCTAAGATTTTTAAATGCATCAATTTTAGTCTCAGACATTTTTAGGTGTTCACTTGAATCTCTCTTTTCACTAAATGATAATTGATTTTATGATACCATTAATTTTTCCCTTTTTTTATAGTAATTGGTGGAGTGAATCTTTTCCTGAGAGCATTATGGGCTTTTTCAAAGTCGATCTCCCTACTTAATATTAGCTCACTAATGTGTTTGGCCCTAAAAATCCAAAATGTCATTATAAGAAGCTTCCCTTCACCAATTTTCATTCAAAAATGGTGAAGTTGATGGTAGGACCAAATTAGTTCATATTTGGCGAGTTTCAGAACTAAATTGAATACATGTTAAGTTATAGGATCAAAATAGATGCTTAAAAAGCCTTGGTCTCTTTGCATTTTAGCTTTCAGTCTGCTATAAAAAACGTTCAGTTTCATACAAGCATTACGCTGAAATCTAACTTTGCTAACTGGAGCAATATGTTACAAAGCATGCATGATACAACTTGATTTTTCATCCCGCCTGCATTTCTCACCAGCAGTAGAGGATTTAGACTGTCTGGTTAGCATATTCTGATATCTTTACTCTTCATGATATGTACTTTTGGTCTTCATAATATACAATTTGATTGCTGAATTCCTGCCTATCATTTGCAGTGTCCCACTACTGTTGTGCCTTTCTTTGGGGACCAATTCTTCTGGGGCGAAAGGATACTTGCAAGAGGAGTTGGACCTCAACCTATTCCCATATCAGAGCTCAATGTTGACCGTCTTTCTAATGCCATAAAATTTATGCTTGAACCAGAGGTTATTATATCGACTTTATCGTTGGAAATTTTGGTTATTTGTGGAGAACATCGGAAGTGGATCGATAGCTTTGTGTTATATATATCCTTGCCCATGCGTTTTCCTGCGACATATTTATATTAGTCATGAATCTCCGTCATATTTTAGTGTGTCTGACCTTTTATTTTCTCAAGCCTCTGAGTTATTAATAGTTGCGGCTTTATTGAAAGGAAATTCTTTTGTGTGTTTATATTAGTTGTTGACTTGTTGCAGTAGTTCAGATTCCTTCACCCAAAATGCACTAATCTCGACATGCTTTTTTTTTTCCCTTCTAACATTTTCAAATAATCAAGCATGTAAGTACCTTCTTCTTTGGGTGATTTCGGCAAATATTATTTTTAGTTAATGTACGTGTGGTAACCATGTTTGATTAAACTTCCTGAGTGCTATTTTTTTTTTTTATCTAGTATTGGTCTGTGATATTTTTTGTCCTCTTCTTGGAAGAAGAAATGGCTGCATCGGAGGTTGATGATTTGCTAGAAAAAGTTTTTGGGCTAGGATGTAACGTAAATTTGATCAAATTAAATTTTAAACTTATTCAATTTTTTTATGATGACTGTAGTACAAAATGTTTTTGATTAGATGCGAGAAAATTTCATCCTTATCAAAACTTCCCAAATTTCAGCTGAATACGTTATCGGTCATTGAGGAAAACTCAGGTTTAGAGGGCGCGAACGAAAAGGCCCTTCAACAAAAAATAAAGATAAAATGAAATAAAAAAACTCATAGGGCCTGATGCATGGATTTAAATTTTACCTTCCCTCTCATCATTGTTTCCACTTTAATTTATTTTTATATATATATTTTTAGGTGAAGCTACGAGCAATGGAGTTGGGCAAACAGATTGAAAATGAAGATGGCGTAGTTGGAGCAGTCAATGCTTTCCATAGGCATTTACCAACAAAACTACCCATACCTCCTTTCCCGCCTGCATCTGAGGAACTTCCACACCCGTTCCAATGGCTTCTTACAGTCATAGAGAAATGGTGCTGTCTTCCCTTCACTATGTTATAATGGTAACTATTGTCGTCACTGTACATATTATTTAATTTTGTCTTTCTCTTCCCATTTATTTATCATTCCATTATTGATATCCTGTGAATAATCGGCAGTTCATAATTTTTCAAACGGTAGTTTGTGCAATTTTCGGCTGTAATGAATTGAGAGTTTTGAGTATTTATAAGCAATAGATCTGTATGTTTGTATGGCTTTTGCCAAAAACCTGACAGTTTAAAAGAAATACTCAATGGTTATGGTCGTTTTTGTCGCTTTATTTATTTTTTTTTATATTTGATTTTGCAGTTTTATAAAAATACCATCAAATTCTTATCAATTTTTCATAAATTTATTTATATATCATCATAATCTATAAATAATAGAAAAAAAAATATTACTATTACCAATTTATCTAAAATAGTATGTATATTTTCATTTATAGATTTTGATGTCATTTAGATGTTGGGATGTCATAAACTAAATATTAAAATTTAGTTAGTGGTACATGCGGAAACGAACCTTTTGGTTTTTGCTGTTTAAGTTTTTGAAAAATGGTTTTCCAACTAACAAATTTAAGCCTGCTTTACTATAAGCTTGTTGGATGTGTTATTTTCTATGGGTGAGCAATTAGGGCTTGAGGTTGGAGAGGTACGGGCGACTTCACTTCCCTAAACCCGCAATCTTCTAATTTGTTGGATGATGCCAGCACTGAGCGTATGATCTTGGAGAAGATGATGATGAATATTCAAGGTTTCAGTGAGCTCATGAAATTGGGAAGCTTTTAGGCTATTTAGAGCAAGTGGGTGGCCTGATGCGGGTAATGACGAATGATCCCATATTCGAGATGCTTCGTGGAAATTATAAAGACTTTCTCTTAAAAGGATTAATATTTTTTGCACAGTAATTTTTCTCCTGTCAACGAGGGAGATTAAATGGATTAATTCCCAACTTGATGGCGAGCTGGTGATGTTGATCAACTACTTTGAGGAGCTGTCGAATTCTATGGCAACAGTGATCTCCTTTGTATCGTATCTTCACGGGAGCGACCTCACGTGGTAGGTGAACCTGTTCAAGAATGTCATTATAGTGAAGACATTCTAGAATGGCTATGTGCAATTCTCACCCATAATATGGGATTGGAAAGATAAGTTCATGTTCATCTAGAGAATGGTAGGATGGAGCTTATGTCGCAACTCAACCCAACCAGTTAGGTCCTATCGTGTTGAGTTGTGACAGACAAACCCTAAGAACTAATTTTTGAAATATTTTATATTCACTTTCAATATAAATTTTAAATAATAATATACTATAAAGCTACTAAAACATCAAGAGTACTTCAAATAAACTTATTAACAAAATCTCTTTCATTTCATTACATGATTTATAATATAGTGCATAGCTACAAAATAGAGAGCAATGCAAAATATAACATAACCTAACCTTGATTATACAAAAATAAAAGCAGAGCAATACCTATATAGACTCAAACCAAATTTTTTAACTGCTAGTAAACATGTTCTTTTCCTTTCCCAGATCCTAAAAATATAATATAAAACTACACTGAGTTACAACAGCTCAACATGCCACAACACTAATCTCAATTTTTTTCTTTTATGAAATATTTTTATAATATTTAAATGCAATATAATAAGTCATTGTGCTAAGCAAAGTAATAAGAGCATAGCAGTTATCTAAAAATTCAAATAATAATATTGATCAGTTAATCAAACATAAATTCATTTTATAGAATAGTTCATATCATAGATTTCTCCTATCCTAAGCAAAATCTCATGGGATTTTGGCCTCTCATGACTCCCAACAGAATATCTCCCTCTTTCAGACAAAATATCAAAGTATTTTTTCCCTTTATTAATCCTAAGAGATAGATTTTACAAATTTTAATTCTTAGTTAGAAACATAATCTTAAAGGATTTTGACCTCTTATATCTCCCAACAAATATATTTTTATATCAAAATTGTTTAATACCATATAAACACATATTTCATTATATTATAGCAATTTAAACAAAATTAGGCACATTTCATAATTACACAATTTCTATAATGATAGGCAATTCTACTGAGTAAAAATACATAATTTTAAAATATACCAAAATTATCAAAGATTATATAAAATATTATTTGAAGACTTTAATTGTAATACAATGCTATTTTTTAAAGCATGGTTTATTTTTTATTCAACAAAGATGGCCTAATTTCCAAACCCCTTATTTGTAAAATTACTAAAAAAAAATATATAAAATGCCCAGAATCTTAATTTTTATAACATATAAAAAGTTATGTGATGAAAGTTTTTCCATACTAAAGTTATTCATATTTTTTGTAACTAAAATAAAATTTTAGAAAGAAAAATTATATTTTTGAAAACTGAAATAGGCATAATGTGACCTATCTCGATATGAATTACATTTTGGACTAAGCCAACGGCTAAAAATGACTCAAAGAAGGTCAAAAATCCTTTTTTTTCCTTTCAAAATCCCTCTCCTTCCCCTTCTTCTTCGGATGCCAACGTCAAGCAAGTGAAGGGAAAGGTAGATTTAATATTATATTTAACTACAAATAATGGCCTGACATTGTAGTGCCACCATATAGTGTTGCAATGCTAGTTCAAATTCTAATAATCTGATACTACAATACTGCAATATCACTATTTGACACTTAGGTGAAACTATAGTGTCGTGGCAATTAAACACCTAATATTGTGTCGCTCTAGGGGGGAAATTATATAATTCTCCAATATACATTATGAACCCCAAGGATTCATTCCTGAATATATATATATATAAATACCTTTCTCATACACTAAAACATTTTCAAACACATACAAATGGGTTTAAAACACAAATTTTAAATATATATATTTTTCAATTTGGGTTAGATTAGGTAGAACCAAATGTTGAACTTAGAGATGTCACATTTCTCTCCTCCTCAAGAAAATGTCATCCTCAATATTTCAAAACTTAGATCTCAAATCACAGAAACAAATCAAGATATAGCTATCTCATCTCTACTCTTTTTACAAGTAGCTTCCCGTTTAGTTATGTTCTTCATCTAAACTTTAACCATTAAAATTTATTTTTTTCTTAACTTTTTGACATCATAGGCTAAAAGACTTTTTAGTTCTTCCCCATAAATTTGATTCAGATATACCTCAACGTCTTCAGCAGATCTCCTATTTCTAGAACTAGATATCCATTTTCATAAAATTGACACGTGAAACACATTATGAGTTTCTAACATGTGATATGGTAATTGTAACCTATAAGAAAATTGCCTAATCCTTTTATCTACTTCAAACGGTCCAATATATCTTAAACATAACTTTCCTTCCTTGCCAAATATGTTGATATCTTTCATTAGCATGATCTTAGTATCAAAATACTATTTCTACCTATCATGTATAGGTTTCAATTTGTCTCCTGATCAAATGAATCTTTTAGTTACATAATCAACCAAAATTGGCTTATTCAAATATCTTTCACCCACCTCGATCCAATATAATGGTGACACTTCCTACCATAAAGAGCTTCAAGTGCAGTCATACATGTACTTGATTGAAAATTATTACTATAAGAAAATTTAATTAGAAAAATGTAAACCTCCTAGCCAACCCCAAAATCCAAAATATAGAGTCTCAGAAGATCTTTTAGTTCATGTATAGTCCTCTCAGACTATCCATCCATCTAAAGATGAAAAGTCCTACTAAAATATAGGTCGTAACCAAATTTTGTTGAATACAACTTCACAGTCTAGAGGTAAACCTATCATATATATTTGAAATTTTAACTCTTGATGTCCCATGTGTTTTAACTTAGTTTTTATAATTATGTTTTCATGTTATATGTGTATTTTTTTATTATTCCAAATAGTTCGATCAAATTTTAGAGAGAGAAGATCTATGGTTTTAGAGAGAGAATTCGTCACTATTTTTCAATTTTGATTCTTCCCGCTTGTGTTGGCGGTTCTTCCACTCAAGGCGGGAGGCCCTCCGGCTGCCTATTCCAGTCGTCGAAGTTGTGAGGATCTTCATTCTCATGTCATACGTAAATGTGACCTGACTCCATTTCAGAGGATTGATGAGGAAGGTCCTATGATTTTTAAAGAACCAAAGTTTGATGCTCCAAAGATTTATGAAGGTACATTCAAGACTCCTACTTCTAAGTGTGATTTTTCTTTATTAAAGAGGCCAAATAATGGTGAAGAGGCTTCCTCTTCGGACATGAATCTTCTTATAAAGAGATTTGGGGTTGTGAATGATACGGGGAAAACAGATAATCGTGGTGCCGTGAAAGATACATTAGATGTTTGTGGTCTTGGTGCAAGAAGATACTGGTGAAGTTATCAAAGGAAGGGAGGGAGTTGTTTCAGCGAATTCATGGAGTAGGCCTCCTAATATCAAGATTAACTTTTCAAAGGGCTTAACAATTATGGCTGATGGCGTGGTGGTAAAATTGTATGAGCCAAACATCAAAGTTAATTTTTAGAAGTTGCAATTTTCATTAGTTGTGATGGTTTTTTCCGTAATATCCCAATTCAGTTGATTACAAATGAATTGTGTAGACAGTGGATGCAGTTTGACAAATTCCACCTAACTATTTTTGGGTTAGGTTGGGTTATGTGCTCATTTTTTCACTTGAAGCTATGGACAATGTGTTATCGAGTGGCCCATGGTTTGTGAATGGGAATATAGTGGGGATTGACAAATGGAATGTTGAATTTTCTATAACTTCTTTAAAAGGTTTGACATCTCTAGTATGGGTGAGGATGTCGTATTTGCCTCTTCACTATTGGGATGAGGTAAATATTGTGAATTTGATTTCAGGGAATAGAATTTTGACCGACGACTTAACCGCCGGCGGAGCCGTCGGTAATACCGACGGTCTATAAACCGCCAGTGAAAACCGCCGGTATTTGCCATTTTTCCTGTAGTGGTATTTGCCTCTTCACTATTGGAATGAGGTAAATATTGTGAATTTGATTTCAGGGAATAGAATTTTGATAATAGCAAATACTTTTATTTCTCAACGACTATCTTACCTACTAATATTTCAGGTCCATAAGATCAAACTACAATTCGAACCAGCTCAAGATTGGGTAAACTAGGTCTGAGTCAATTTGTAATATTTTTCTTCTTGAGTCAATTGTAAACAATGTGATTTCTGATGCTAAGTAATCTTGCACACACACAATTGTAAGAAATTTTTTGATAATTTTAGAGTTTTTTTTGTTTTTGCTATCATCGTCGAGGACGATCCA